TATATATGAGATAATCTATTATTTAGTGTTAGTGATTTTCATTTTGTTCTTAATGCTAAGGTGACTTGATCGCTCATCTTTGATCTTTGATTTGGATTTTGGTTGGAAAATATTTTCTAAATATAGTTTTGAATAAAATTACCTAATATCTCTAAAGACTAAGAATAGATTTGGAGTTGTTAGTTGAACAAGTTCTTAAACTTAATGCAAGGGTTCTAATTTGATAAATAGAGGAATCATTTATTGAGTTAAACTCCTTAAAATTTCTAAATACAAAGAATTGATTTGGAATGACCTTAATGAACTCAATAACATTAGATGATAGAAATCATATATAAATGATCTAAGGAGAACATAAGGGTGAGATTGGTGAAACTCAATTCCAATAGCTTTGCATACTGTTATCTTTCAATTTTACAACTGCTTTGTTGTTATATTTTATAATTCTAATATTGAAATATGAACAACATCATGTTTATAATATTTGTGAATCTTTTTATTTTAAGCTTTTACTAGGATATCATAAATTATAAGTATCTTCCAAGTTCCTGAAGTTCGACAACTCATATTTAATTTCTATACTATAGTGACTTGGTGTGCTTGTCTCAAAATTCTCATCAACTTGAAGTTATTCTCATTATTTTAATGAAAATATTTTATTTTTAAACTATTTTATTGTTTATTATATGTTTAGCTAGAGGTGTAGAAGGTGTCACATGATTATTGAAAACATAAATTCACGAGCAAAACTTGTCGTATCATTGAGAAACAAAAATAAATCTTTAGTAGATTACACACTAGACCCAAAGGTATATCACTTGTATAATGAAATTAAATAAACTTTGAAAAGAAGGAAAAGTATAAATCAATCACCAAAAAAGAAACTATTCAAAAATTACATTCTAGTAAAAACATACATTTTATTTATAGATTACACTCCATTCCAAATTTTATCAATATCTTGCACAACATGATATAAAAGAATGAGAGTGAGACGACTTATTCAATAGAACGAAAGTGACACAATATCCTAGAGACCAACAACAAAATCCTTATCCTACTAGGTGAAATTGACAATCATTTGACATTGTACTCAAGTTATACAATGTGTTATTGTTGTATCATATCAATCTAGCATGAGTAAACCATGTTCGATATTAGCAAATAACATCACATAATCATGTCATATGTTTTTGGTTCAAGATGAAGCGGTACTTTCTTCCTAACAGTGATTCCATTCACCTCAGTCATGTCAATATTTTGCATCAATATACCAATATCGGGCATCTTCCACTGGAACCAATATAGAAGATTAGCAAGAACATACTCAATTGAAGCTAGTCCAAATGAAATTGCTGGACATATCCTTCTCCCACTACCAAACGGGATGAATTGAAAATCTTGTCCTTTTAGATCAACTTGGCTAATTTCAAATCTTTCAGGAATGAATTCTTCAGGGTTGTCCCATTGTTCAAGATCCCTATGGATTGCCCATGTGTTGATAAATACCATTGTTTTGGAGGGAATATCATATCCTTTTAATTTCACACTAGATGATGACTTTCGAGCAACCAAAAATGGAACAGGTGGATGTAATCTCATAGTTTCTTTGACTACACATTTTAAGTAGTTCATTTGATTCACACAATTTTCATCCACTATGGAATTGATTCCCACAACTCTTCTCACCTCTTCTTGAGCTTTCTTCATGGTATTTGGATTCTTAAGGAGCTCTGCAAAAGCCCATTCCAAAGTTGTTGAAGTAGTATCACTTCCACCAATTATCATGTCCTGAAATTAATATACAAGTTGGAGTTATATATTCATACACCTTTTTTTTAATAGATTAATTCTATATATGAAATTAATTTATTATCTACAATGGTACGCTATTGGTTAGCATATGATAATGAATTCCTTAAGTGAGAATGAAAATGATTAATCTCAATTTTTAAATTCAAATGGAAGGTTTAAATTAAAAGATTCATTTAAAAATTCACATAAATGGAGGTGTTAGTATCATCACTGGAAATACCACCACCATTAACAATCATGAGAATGGTACACTATTTTTGTCACTGGTGGTAATAGTGATGGCGATGACAATGATAATATGTCGTTACTATCATCACCAACAATAGTATTTTTAGATGAAAGAATGGTGCACTAGTGCAAAAAAGGGCTACTACGTCACCTCATTTATGTCGGAAACTGGAAAACCCGACGTTGTAAAAATACGGTGGCAGTTTCGTAAATATAGAGAGACTAATTTACGTCGGACCCCCCTTGTCCGACGTAAATTTCCCCCTAAAATGCCCAACGTTCCATTTCTCATTCCCGCATGTCCCATTGTTTACGAAAACTATTACTTCTTCTCTTATTCTCTAAGTCTCCAAGTGCCTTTGTTTCCACATTGCACGTTTCTAAGTCTCTAAGAGTCTGCACATTACACGTTTGAGGTTAGTTTCTTGTCTACGCAAATTTTTTGTTTATTTTTTGTTATTTGTTCATATGGAACAGGCCGTTCTGCAAGCAATACGGGTCGTTCTGCAAGCAGTACGGGTTGTTCTGCAAACAGAATGGGCCATTCTGCAAGCAGAACGGGCCGTTCTGCTTAACTTTTTTGTTTTGTAAATTGTTGATCTAGAACGGCCCGTTCTGGTTTCAGTACGGGCCGTTCCAGCTGCATTAAAGACAGACTTTTTTAGGCATTGACCTTTAGTTTACCTCGACAACCAGGAAATGACATAGATTGAAGAAAGCATTCAATCAACAGTGACACAAATATTATACCAACTTACCTTTTCCTCGAACAATCAACTCAAATTCCAGTGGCACAACACAACCACAAGTTGTTGCTACAAAAATCGACACTCAATACGATTGAACTGAAACATTCAATGTGCAAACAAAATGACATTGTTGTGTTTAACTAACCTCCTCGCAACGGTCATATTTTTTAAAATTCAAAAAGTGATGCATCCACGTGCAGGAGCAATCTACGTCATGCGTCGCACATATTTTCATACATTGTCATTATATTTGCTGCACGTTGTGTATGTATCAAATTTTTCATTCGTAAAAGACACTTCACATATTTGATTTTAATTTTAATGGCATTAGCTTTATATTTGTTTTTTTATTATTTATTTTGTTGCTATATTGTTATTATCTTTTTTACTTTATTTGTCTATTCAGTTAATTCGTTGTTTTAATAATGAGAGTTTAATTTTTTCAGGATTATGGAGGATTCAGGGTCTGGCAGTGGAAGGAGGGAAGGTAGATCTATCACCTGATTGTCTGGGTTGAGAGCTGGACGCATTGCCAAGGAAAGGACACCAGTTGAGGTGGATCCTTGTTCTGACAAGGCGTCAGGCCCAAATACTGCCAAGTTTAAGAGCTATTTGGGAGTCCTATCTCGACGGTATGTTTCTATTATCATTTCATCATGGGATGATGTTCAGGAGGCTGACAAGAACCTCATGTGGCAGGATATTCAGGTATATACTTTCACATCCCTTCAATATTATATAACTTAAATACATTATTCATTATTTGTTGTTATTTTCATAGCAAAATTTTGACATTCCCAACACTGAGGTCATGAGGAGGAAGATGTTATCTGCCTTTGCCACCAGGTGGAGAGACTTCAAGACTTTCTTGACACGGGAATATGTATTTGGAGAGCGACAAAATGAGACTCCCTGTCTAAAGTACCAGATCACTGATGAGGAGTGGATGCAATTTTGTGCCACTCGATTGGACCCTTCTTGGCAGGTTAGTTATTGATAACTCTTACGTTGACACAAATACTTAATCATATTTTAATTAATCTCATTTTCTTTTTTGTATTATTGCAGGCCAAAAGAATAGCTGCCCAAGAACGACAGAGAAAGAATGATGCATCCCATCTATTGTCAAGAGGGGGATATGAATTAAAAAAAAAAAGAAAATGATGAAGGCTAGGGTAGAGACAGCAGGGGTTGAGTCTGCTGATCGTGTGGAGTCCCCTCCCTGCCATGAGATGTGGATAGCAGCCCAGATAAAATCAGATGGGCAAATGACTTCTGAGTCTGCAAGGGTCGTTGCTGATAAAATAGTAAGTAAAAATATACAAACTAAGACTCTTCATTTCAACTCATTTAATTCATAAGTGTAGTTGAGGGTATACTTATTGTTAATATGTTGCAGGAGGGTTTATTTGAGCAGACCACCCAGGGGTCATTTGTTTCCCATGGTCGGGATGATATCCTCACAACGGCCATAGGAAGGCCAGAGCACGCAGGCCGTGTGCGTGGTGTTGGTGGTTCTTGGAGCCACCGAGATTTCTTTGGTGCACGATCATCGAAGAGAACTATTGACCCTTGCAGTCAAGAGACTATGCAGAGAATGGAGATGCAGTTTCATAATAGCTTTATTATGCTATCTTTCATATGTCATTAATAAACAATAGCTCTATTATGCTATCTTTCTTTGGTTTAGTTAGTCCACATTTTAAGAAGGCATTGTTTAAGTGAAATATGTCTAAAGCAAGTATAGTTTAAAAATAGTAATAGGTTATAAAAATTGCTCAACAATTTTAAACTGGTTCAGACATTAAAACCACTTAACTTTAAATTGGTTATAAAGAAAGCAACCAAGTCACCAATATAAGAATGTTCTAAACTAGTTATACCAAACCTTAATCATCAATAAGAATGTTCTATTTACAATATATAGAAGACAAATTTAAATTCATTTAAGAAATAGTACACTAGGAAAATTTTTCTAGTTAGACAACACACATGCTAGAAGTAAGATCAATTTTTAATATATCCATTAAATCTACAACAAATGAGAAAGCTAAGGAGAAGGAGTACCACTATCAGCTTTTCCCTTGCAACTTGTATGAAATATAAATGACTTGTAAAAAAAAAAAAAAATGCACATTACATTAAATTAAAACAACATATATCCCATTATTAAAGCTAGAGGAAAGTCAGGTTATCAATTAAATTAAGTTACTGCAATTTCTTAAAGTGCTAAGCAATATTATGTCAGCAATAAACAATAGCTCTATTATGCTTTTTTTGGTCTAGTAAGTCCATATTTTAATAAAGCATTGTGCAAGTGAAAGATGCAAAAGCAAGTATAGTATATACTTTTAAGGTTGGAGTACAAGTATATACTAATTGAACCTTCTATATGGGTTTTGCAAACTTCAAAACTAGATCAGAGGTTAAAAATTGGTTCTATATCAACTCTAACTAGTTTAAACTCAGTTCATAGAACAAATTGAGGGATTTAAATATTGCTTTCAGTAGACTAAGTGTGTCATTGATTTAGCTTATTTTGGAGAAATATTGCTTTTTTTATTTTGTTGATAGAGAAGAGACAACTTTTTTGATAAGTTATTAGGTCTTTCAAAAGAAAAGAAATATTTAGTTTGTACTAAAAATAACTTTTAAATTCTAATTAAATAGGGGTTATATATATGTGTGTATTATATTCAAACCTAGAAGTGGTTTTTAAGTTAATATGTGTGAAAAGATAATTTAATTTATCAAATATCTCAAATTTAATTAACCATTAAAATAATAAATTTCATGAATTATTTATTATTTGTTCAATATTCTCGATTTAATCCACAATTAAGATGTATTATTAATTTCACTAACACATAAAAAATGTAACATATATATATATATATTTAATTTTTAGCTTCCTAGGATTAACATAAAACTTTTTTATTCTAAATTAATTTAAAAGATAGAGAAATAAAATTAATATAATATATTAAAGTATTTTTTCCTTTTTAACATTCCTAAATGTAATTACATGTCATTATGATTTTATTTTTCTACTTTTTATTGAATGTAAAATTATAGAAATTTGGAGTGTGCATGACTTTGTGTGAATTTTTATTTCAATTTTTGTCTTGTAGATTGCGACGGTTTACTACCAACTACCTCAATATAGATAAATTTCTAAATATAGATTGCGACGGTTTACTACAAACTGTCGCAATGTTGAAAAATTTTGCGACGTACGGTTGGGAGAAACCGTCGTACGAAGGGTCGCAATATCAAGGTGACAATGGTTTCAGGATAACCGTCGCAATTTGTCCGTTGTAATTCATCATTTTCCTTGTAGTGTACCTGGGACCAACAATTGGTACCAGAGCTGAAATTTGTTAAATACTCAAGTTATATCCTTAGAATCCTTAGAATGGATAGTAATCAATTACCTTTTGCTGAAGGTGCATCTATAAATAAACCTCCTCTATTTTGTCGTGATAACTATCCTTTTTGGAAAGCATACTGACCCTCCCCATTTCTACGTCTACCAGTGTTTCTTTAGGGATTTAGGCGTCTGCCTTCCCTTTACTCAATTCGAGTGTGATTTTTTAAATTTTATCAACTCGGCTCCTTGCCAATTGCACCCAAACAGTTGTGTAGGTTTTATATTGGGTATATCAAAAATTAAAAAAAAAAATTTAAAAATGCCAGATTTTACGTCGGACATGGTGTGGTCCGACGTAAAATCTCAGGCCCATTTTTACGTTGGGCATAGGCATATCTGACGTAAATTTACGTCGTCTCTGAACGTTGGAGCCTTTTCTGACGTAAAAGCCTAAAAATAGCCGACGTAAAAGACCCTTTTTATACTAGTGGTGTTTACAATGACAATGATAGCTGGTAGTGAAAATGCACATTCATTGAAAGTGATGTCAACAATAGTGGGAGACAATGGTGGTGGTAGTAATGATATTAGTGATGATGAGCCAACATTATTGTTATTGTGACCATAGTTGTCCCTAGCGCTATTACTATCATCGATAATAAGTGACAAGTGATAGGTGACAATGAATTTTTAACTGGATCTTTTAATTTCATCCTTCCATTTGAATTTATGGTTGATGGTGATCAAGACTTACTATTAGAATAAGTGACTCACTCTTTATATATATTAGTGAGATCAAATGATTCCAAGAATAACTTTTGATAAAGTTACTCTACTCGATAACTCATGGTGTATATTGAATTTCAACGATTCAACCATTAAATTAAAAGTTCTTAATGTATATATCAAGTCTACAAATTTTTTAAAAATTTGAAAATCATATAATACTTCATTATATAAATTCAAATCAATATATAAAATATTTTTATATTTATCTATCAATTTAAATTAACGAAATAAAGTATCAAACATTTTTCAAAATTTTGAGAATTTTGTAGACTTAATGTGTGTATTAAGAACTTTTAATTTAATGGTTGAATCGTTGAAATTCAACATACACCATGATTTATCGAGTGAAGTAACTTTACCAAAAGTCACTCTTAGAGTCATTTGTTTCTTCCTTATATAGGATTTTTTAATTAACCTTTCATTTTGAATTTATGGTTGCTGGTAATCAACCTTTGGTAACATAAATTGTCTGGACTTGTTTGATGGTATTATAAGGAGGAAAAGTCATAAAATAAATTATCAATTTTAAAAAATCCACCTTTTTATGTTGATTATGTCCACAATTGATAAAAAAAATGTTACTTCTTATATCAATAATGAACTTATTTGACGAAGAAAGATGCAACATTAGTTATGCACATAACTTGCATACAAAGGTACATCTTTTATGTTAGATCTTATAGCAACTAACATAATTATTTTTTTTGAAGTGATTTCATTAAGCAAAATGAAAAAGGCTAACATTCCATAATTACTGTATGTATAATGGTTGCACAATTAATATAAAATGTTTATTTAAACCAATATAAAAATTTTGTTATAGTAATGTGTGCCCGTGTTATAAAAATTATTAGATTAAAAGTTATAACTTGTTAAGTGTGAGTGCATGTTAATAAACTTGTATTTTAGTTAGAGTGAGTTATCACTTAGGTAAATTTTAAAAAAGTTATAGCCCTAACTTACTAACTTAGGACTTGTAAAAGATAAATGAATGTAAGTTAAAAGAGGTGTGTGTTTTGTATGATTAGAGAGAGAGAGAGAAACACACACCACTAGGATTGCTTTGAGGGTATCTCGGTTGAGCTGGAAATCAAGCCTTCCACTCTCTTGAAGGTGAAGCAGTGTCCGCACAAAGTCCATAGCATCGGACTCATCGTTATTGGTTTTTGTGCTCTCGTATTCGTTAATCAACTCTTCAAAGAAAGCATCTATTTCAGCAAAGGTGGCCTTCATTTCCGGAAGCAGGCCAGTGAGAGAATCAACCCAAGCCAACGAGGGGAAGAAATCACCGACGCTGAAAGCGGAGAAGTGGCCCACAACCTTTCTCCCAAGCACTCCAAAGGAACCACCCTTTGCATCATCACACTTCACTCCAAGTACGCATCTAGACACGATGTTGTTTGCAGTCGCAATCAGCATCTCACTCAGATTCACACGCGCCTTTTCACCGCCACACGCTTCGCGTATGCCTTCCACCAACTCCGCAACAACCTCTTGCCTCACGGAACCAAAGGAGCGCACCTTTTTGGCGCTGAAAAGCTCAACCACGCAGGTCTTCTTCTTCTGTCGCCACTCTTCGCCGTAGGGCGCAAACCCCACATCGTTGCATCCGTAAAGAAAGATCTTAGGAGCCGTACGTTGTGGGCGGTTGGAGAAAACAACATCGTGCGTTCTCACTATTTCTTTGGCCACGTCAGCTGATGAGACCACTAGGGTTGGAACTTGGCCAAGTTGAAGCATCATAAGAGGGCCATATTTGTTTGCGAGTGCGTGGAAGGAGCGGTGTGGGAGTGTTCCTAGTTGATGGAGGTTCCCAATTATGGGAAACTTGGGTGGCGATGGAGGCAGATTTAACTTGTTTCTTCCTCTTAGCTTAACCATAAACACAAGGAAAGTAACGAAGCAGAAGAAAAGTATCAGAATAGCCATTTTTGCTTTCGGCAGGGCTCAGTCTGAGGTGTATGGATAGTATGATCTCAACTCAAGATATGATTCTTCGGGATAATGATTTCTTCGGGCTTAATATTTATTTAAGATTTTTTGTTTATAAAAAATTAATAACTTGCATGACCAGTAAACTTAGGGCTCAGGAATAAACTTAAAAATAAATTTTTCATGCATGTAGTTATAAGTGTTTTAGCTATATCTTTAGAACATTTTTCATAAAAATAATTATTTTATTATATATTTTTCCGATACTACCTATTTATAAAAAATATAAAAAAAAAAGATTTGTCTAGCTCTTTTTTTTATCTCTTTTAAATTATGAAACTGGTTTCAAAGAAATTATAAAATAGTAAAATTGGATAATGGATGAGGGTTTTTTTTCTTCGAAAAGCAATTGCAATAGTGATATTGGATAATGGATGAGGGTTTTTTTTCTTCGAAAAGCAATTGCAATAGTGATATTGGATAATGGATGAGGGTTTTTTTTCTTCGAAAAGCAACTGCAATAGTGATATTGGATAAGGATTTTTTAAAGTCAAAAAGAAATAGCAAAGATGTTGGCCTACTAGAATAGTTTAAATACTTTTTATTTTTTGTATAAAAAAAATCGTTTACATATTTATTAAACTTTTACAGAAATGATTTTTTTGTACTATAGTTTACATATTTTAGTCAAAAACATTGTATAACTTTTTGTTTGTTTAAACTCTTTTTAAGAATAATTTTCTTAATAATAAATTTTATTCACTTCTAAAAAATAAGTTTTTTTTTTTTTACTTTAAACAATTAGACTTGAAAAAGTAATTATAGAGAGAGTTAATCACTTATATATTGTTTGTTTAAAGTTTTTTTTACACTAGCAGTATATGAATGATTAACTCTTATAGAAACCAAACACACTATGATAATTAATTTCAGACACTATTATAACTAAACAAATTATCAATTGACAATTTGGACAAATGAGAATGAAAAGATTGTTATCTATATTTATATATAATCGGATATAAGATTATAATCACTTTTTTTATTTTCATATTTTTTTAAAGATAATTTTACTCTTAAATTTTTAAATAATAAAAAATAATATTAAAAATAAATTATTTGATAAGATTCTTGAAACTTAAAAATCAATCACATTTTTAATTAATTTAATAAATATTGATAAATTTTAAATAAAAAATAATATTAAAAATTAATTATTTGATAAGACTCTTGAAACTTAAAAATTAATCACATTTTTAATTAATTTAATAAATATTGATAATTTTTAAATATCTTTATTAAATAAAATATAAAATCACAAAATTCATCGACTTTATTAATAATTTTAAATTTTCCATTACATTTATTTTTACATTGGGTGGGAAGTAACCAACATAAAATTCTGTAATAAAGTATATATTTTACACTAATAAACACAAAAATGAATCAAATCGGTCAAAGGCATAATTAAGAATATGGTGACTATAAAAATGGATTCAAACACAAACCAATGCGATTTATACCCAATATATGTATCCGTTGGATAAAAATCTTTAAATTTAACGGTTTGGGTGAACAAGTACTACATGTTACCGTATGGAGTTATATATTTGATATTTCATATAAGAGTAATGATTTAACTTCCAAATCTTTTATCCAAAATTTCGTCCGAATATTAAAATAATAATTTTTTTAATAAATTTATTATAAAATAGTTATTTTATAATAAATTTATTAAAAAATATTATTATTTTAATATTAGGACAAAATTTCGGATAAAAGTTCAGCGACTGTACCAATACTCTTCATATAATCACCTACTAACTTTGAAAATTTGGGATGATACGACTTATCCATCACTTCGAAAGAATTTTTAATTGTGATCAATTTGGATTAATCACAAAATAAATCTGAATATATGATAAAATTATAATTTTATAATAATTACTTAAAAAAATATAAATACTATTTTATTAATTAAAAAACAAAATATTTATACTGATAATGCATTAAAACTAGTTATAATAAATAACTAGTATTTTAATTTGTACAAATATAATATATAATACACAAGATAAATGTTTATTTATATATCTATAATTTATAATAAATAAATGCTTTCAAATATATAGATTATATTATAATTAAAATTGTAACAAAAATATATTTTTAAGTATATAAATTATATCATATATTTATAATAAATAATTTATATTAAGTTTAAATATCTTTTTAATCTTTGTAAAATGAATGAGTTTTGATTTTTTCTTGTAAAATATTTTCTTTTATTTTTATAAATGTGACACCCGCACCCCCTCTGCACCCACAAACCCTCCCTTTCTCATTTTTTTCCCTTTCTTCCTTCCATTACTCTCTTCTCATTCCCTTTAATGGCTGAAACCTAGGTATTGGAGTTTGATTTGGAAGGTGGAGCTATTGATCATTTCTCTTCTTCTTCTTCAACCCTGAAGTCGTGCGGACATTTCTTCCCCCTTCTCTTCTTCTTTTTCACCCTCGGAGTAGCTCGAAGTTCGTTGGTCACTCCGTTCCGAGGTAAGGGAAGCTAGAATCTTGGACGATTGTTTGAATTGAAGTTTGATATTAGTTGAGTTTATGAAAAATTGAGTTAATTTGGGGGTGAGTTTAAGGCTGGTTGCATGTTGAAAATGGAGATCTTGGTTGTCTTGACGGAAGATGTAACATTGATGATTTTTCTGTGAATTTGGTTGCATGCATGTGGAATTTTTGGTATTTTCTGAGTTGTATGAACCAAATGAGTAGAGATTATGTAAGTGGATCATGTTTTGGGGTAAACATTAATGGATTATAGCTGGAAAATGAAAAGGGAAGCCATGGAAGTGTAGAACCTATGCACTTGGCGCTGAAGCGCTAAAGGGAGCGCTAAACAGGATGAGAAATTGAGGTGACCGAGACCTGAAGCTACAGCTCCAAGTTGGGTGTTGCAGCCTTAGGAGAAATTGAAGTTGTCAGAGAGTTTGAGCTGCAACCCCAAGTTGGGCGCTACAGCCCCAAGTTGGGCGCTACAGCCCCAGGAAGCCCAGGAGAAAATGAAGCTGGCAGAGAGTTTGAGCTGGAGTGTTGGATTGAGCGCTACAGAGCTGGAGCTAGATGACCGAATTTGGTCTTAGGGTCTTCATGAAAGTTGTAGCCTTGGATGTTAGATTTCCAATGACACCGGAATCACCCAAAAAGAAGGTTTTGAACTTCATATATGATTGTTTTAGTGAACAGGGGTCAAGTTGTCAGTATTGGTTGTAGCTGTTACGGTTTTTAAAATTTTTAATAAGGTAGATGATAGAATTAGGACTAGATGTCTTCATGAGAGTTGTAGAAAATATTTTTATCTTTCATTTGAGTTAAGAACTAGAATGATGGGAGTAGTATAAATTCATTTATACTATTTCATGTGAAGGCTGCCATTTCACAATTAGTGATTTCGTTAAGTTGAAAGTTGTTTTGAGTGCTTAGGTTGATTTATGTTGTTTGTGTGTGTAAGTTGGCATGATAAATGAGTTGTATTATGTGATGAAAATGTTGTGTGGCGATATAGAATGATAAAATATTGATTAATGATGTTGTTAGTAATGCTTTTGTGATGAAAATGGGATGTAAACGAGATGTATGTGTAGCATGAAGAGGATACTTAGTAGTGAGATGTGTGATGTATGTTGTAGTTGAGTTGTGAAGTGGTGTCGTTGTGTAGATGTGTGAAATGAGTTAAAGAGTTATATGTTGAGTGAGTTGTTGTACTAAATAAAAATATGTTGAATATGTGGTATGTTGTTAAAGTTTATTTATGTTACGTGTTGACTATTTATATGTTGTGAAATGTGATGAGATGAAATAGTTGAGAGTTGTGAAGAACATGGTGATAATGTTGTGAGTTGTGAGAAGCATGATGTGAAATGTGTAAATGGGTTGAGATTTATACAAAATTTATTAGTATACTGTGTTGCAAAGTTGTTAGATGAGAGTTATATGTTGTTATAAAGTTGTATGTTGTAGTATGTATTGAAAAGATATTACCTTATGATGGTTGAGTTGTAAATTATGAGTTGAGCTATTAAGCTGTTGAGTTGAATGCGTTGTTTAAAGTTAAAAGAAGCTGATAGTTGAGATGATGATATGATAACTGTGTTGTTGTGCTGTGATGATGAGTTGTTGATCACTAAGACTAGGGGAGATGTTTTCAAAGTTGCTCAACCTATTGTGTGGATTCCGAGTGTTGTGGTGCTCTAAGAGTCCAATTTGTTGAAAAACCCTCCTTGGGAAGTTGTCCCTTGGAGTGGATGATGTTTTGTTCTCCTCTAAGACTTAGTTGATCCCATGTGTGGACAAGGTCGAGGAACACGTGTATAAAGCGACCACGGTATAGGGGCCAGGTCGAGCTATACCGATTACAAGCGGCCAATTCGAGTAAAGTACGAATTCAGAAACTTAGTTCCTAATCAAGTATCGGAGGGTTGTAGTATTTGGAGGATAATTAGTAGGCTAATCTCATATGTGGCTTAGTTCAGCTAGCTAATGCCGTGTAGGTCGAAACCCAACTGTCCTATCCTGACATAGTACTATACTTCCTTGTTTAAGTGGAAAAGTTTGAGAAATCGTTATTGTGTTGTGAATTTTTATCCAAATTTATTGTTTACCTAGCAAACCCAAAAAGTTTTGTGTTGTCGGTTCGGTAGGACCTAGCCACTTAAGTTGCTCACCTTATGTTGTAGGAGATCTCCGAGTTGAAATGCATGACGATGCATATGTGTTGATGAGTTGATATTGTGATGATATAAGTTGTATGTGTTGATGAGTTGATATTGTGATGATATAAGTTGTATGTTTTGATGAGTTGATATTGGGATGATATAAGTTGTATGTGTTGATGAGTTGATATTGTGATGATCTAACTTGTATGTGTTGATGAGTTGATATTAGGATGATATGAGATGTATGTGTTGATGAGTTGATATTGGGATTGTGAGACCCCACCTCCGTTTTCCCTTTTCTTCCCCAACCTTCATCACTTTCACTCATTCCTCTCTTGTCTCACTCTCAATC